GCACTTTGGATTTTTAAATTCTGAACAGTTTCGGCGTATAAATCCGCAATGCCTTATTAAATACCATGTTTATATGGTTATTGAAAGACGTGTAATTTGAATAATTTGATACCAATATGCCTAAGTCTTTTATTTGCATAACTGCCATTAGTTCAGAGCTATTAATTTTATAATTAAATTTTAAGAGTTGTTTTCGGCGTGAAAAAGTTATCTGTAGACTTCAGCATTTACATTAAGGCCGTTTGTTATGCACCATGAATAAAACTGATTCAGATCAAACAGCAGTTTAACACAGTCATCAGTTGAATAAATTGGTACTTAGATATAGTTTTAGATCGTCGGCAAAAATTAAGAATTTACAGTTTTTAAAGATATTGGAAACGTAATATTAATAAATATTTAAAAAAGTAAAGGTGATAAATGACCTCCTTGGCTCCTTGAGAAACACCAGATGTAACATTAATATTTAATACTCACTGAGATAGAACTACTCAATTTAATTTGTTGAAATCTACCACATAACTATGAATTGAACCATCTTAACATTGGTCCAGATATRCCTCTATATTCAATTTTTTTTACCAAAATAGACAGGTCTACACTATCAACAGCTTTCCTTATATCCATGTTTACTGCATCTACCTAAATTCCTTTATTAACTAATGACACAAGGTTGGTAAATATACTAGCAAATTAATYWTGGTTAATTTAGAATAAAAGCGAAAACCGTGTTGCTTATCAGAAATAATATTACTAAATATCGATGCCAATTTAGTTGCTATAATTTTTCTAAAATTTTAGATTGTGTACTCGGACGGGATTCGATTACTTGCTTTAAATATAGACCAAACATAACTATTCTTCCACTTATCAAGATACTAACCGACGGATAGCCAGGATTAATTAATATAGGTATTGAATGGGGTGAGAATGTGAGATAGCGTAAAAAGACAGTTACAATAAATTATTATTGTTATTATTGTTATTATTACCTATATTATTATTGTAAAACAATAAAGATGGACTCTAAATGAAATTGAACAACTAGCGGTCCAAAACAAATTAATCTAATAGTAACCCTATTCCTTGATGAATATAATAAAGGGGTACGCTATAATATGAARAAAAATGAASAGTAACTCAGTCTCCCTGCGTCCTCCCTCAACTCAACCACTGATTAAAAATGTATAAAATGTTAAATTTATATAACTAATATAGTCATGATTCATGAACATTCAATACAAGATTCCTCATAGCTGACACAAGTTTACCTATAGACACCTATAGTGGTGGCAGTATTGTGCTGAACAGTTCCCACTAGTTCCTGGTTTTTTAACAGGAAAAAAAAAGACACCTATATGGCTATATAGTAGTATAATAGTTATACCTTTAATTGTTACCAAAAAAGCACTCATAATTATAGGAAAATAGGTAGGTATATGCTAATTCAATTGTTTTTTTGGTAAAAATGAATTCTGTAAGCCCTGATTACTGAAGACTTGTTTACGATAATACGATACCATGCCATTGTRACTGAAACCATTCAAATTCACAAGTATGTACTATGTAGGTACCATTGATTATAGAATATTCAATGGTAGGTACCTACATGGCTGCAGGCCATTTATCAGTTATTATTAGGGCTAGGAATTGCCGCATTGGTATGTTTTTTTGCAACTTCTGATTACTTATTTTGTAAATAATGCTCACGAATTAGCCTTTGCTGAGGTAAATGGTGATATTTTTATTTGTCATATTTTTACATATTTGAGATAAAATGCATATTTTTGCATATTTTGAACAAAATGAATTTTTTTGTACATTTCGACTACAAAAACACAAAAGTGCATGTTTTATATTATATTTCATTACAATTTGGAAATCGTTGAAAACACCAAATCTAAACTTGGCCAAAACAAAGGACCGATCTCTGAAAACATCGACAAAAAATATAAAAATGTGTTAGAAAAAAATACCGGGCTAAAAGCTATGTCTACGATACGTAATATTTTAAATGGCAACRATKTAGATGAAGATTTTCCAAATCTAACTMYYRGGAAAGTTACAAAATTTAAATAAGCAAAAATTACGTCATGTGATATCGAACTGAGTTTTAGCAAATATAAAAACATACTAAGGTCAAACAGAAGATCGATCATTTTTGAAAATTTAAAACATCATGTG